TTCCGGTGATGTTGAACATTCCGACGAGTCTCCGCTAATCGTTTGATGGAACTCCGGCGGTGGTGAGATGTAGCAGCGTTTTAAATTTATAAAAATAAAAAAAAAATTGGTAACACATAAAAATATGTAGGACTAATTGGTGCAAGTATTTTATTTTTGGACTACACGAGTTTTGAACTTCGTATATGGGACTTACTGGTAAGTGTCTCCCAAAAAAATACAATTCAGTGTGTGCACGTTGGTTGGCTTGACAAAAAGGGAGTTTAAACCCAACGCTCCTAGCTCCGATCCGGTGCCTAGACACCTACATATATATATAAACAGTAAGCTAAAGCCCAATGAATAACATATGCGTAAATAGGTTAGAAATGAATGTCCTTTCAGTATTTAAAACAGTCATTTGAACAGTATATCAGTTATTCGATCATAGCAGTCATAAGTGGTACATCCAATAGCAAACAGTACAGTAGGTCTTAACAGACCGAACAGTCAGTTGATGGCCATCATATTAGTAAACAATAGTGGTTCCAAACATGGGAACCGACAGAGATCTCTGTGACAGTAGCAGTATAGTACAGTAACAGTAAATTGCTATGGATGCCATGAATACAGTTCGCAAATAGGACAAACATTCATTCAGTAGAAATACAATTTTTAAGAAAGGCAGTACAAGTTGAACATTCAGAAAATTATTCATGATTGAATATATCTTACAACATTGTTACTCACAGAGTTCTGGGCTACAGATAGGCTAGTGAGCGTCCTCGGATGCCAACCCTACACAGTTACACGGATGAACACACATTAAGTTGCGCGCTTCGGAAACAATAACTTTGTCCCTATGCTTGACTGGTGTGGTTCTAAGCATTATCCTCATTAAGATGCCTTAAACTAGGCCTAGGATGGCCTAGGATGGAATGAGGATGCAAAAAATGCACTTTAAAACACTTTTCAAATTTTCAGAAACAAGGGTCTCCGCTGAGCGTGGCTTTCTACGCTCGAGCGGACATGCAGACAAAGGATCTCCACTTGAGCGTGACTTTCCTCGCTCGAGCGGACTGCAAAAGTACTGGATGCATGAAATTCACGTTCGACGGGCGTTCGACCCCCGCTCAAGCGTAAGACACAAGTCCTCGCTCGAGCGTGCATTCCCTCGCTCGAGCAGATTGTAAACACATGCAATGTACTGGATACACGCATTTCACACTCAAGCGTTACTTTACTCGCTCAAGCGGACTGCATGAACTTAGAGTGTACGCTCGAGCGTGAAGTTCCTCGCTCGAGCGTGGATCCAAAATCTGGAATTTCCAGATTTGTCTCCAAGCATGAAACTCAACATTTAAAACATCAAATTCGATCCTTTTGGGATAATTTTCTGGAAAACACTTTAAAACTCATAATATGACATGTTTCAAAGATTAATTTGCAAAATCAAAGCCCAAAGGTAGTTCAATTGAACACCATTTTCAATAAAACTTCAAGAACAAGCTCAAACATAACGTGCAAGTATTCAATTGAATTCAAAGCTTCCAATACATAGCCAAATGAGTCAAAACTTTCAAAAACATGATGAATTCATGAACTATAGTCAAGATATGAACATGCATGTGGAAATTCATGAAGAACAATCTCAAAATGCAAGAATATGTACATGCATGCATGATCTAGCTCTCAATTCAACATTTTAAACCAATTCTTGACATTAATCTCCAAATTTCCATGAATCATGCAAGACACAACTTAAATACAAAGTCAAGAAGATGATTCTCCTACCTTAGGTCTCAATTCAAGATGTAGGAGCTCAAATATACAATCCTCTCTTCAAAACTTCCAATTCTCCAAGAGTTTCTCTAGATAAAGCAACTCTCTCTCAAGTCTCTCTCTCTCACTCAGTTATGGGTCTCAAATGGCTGAGGAAATAAGTCTCAAGGTGCCTTAGTAAGTGGCCCACTAAGTGGCAAAATGGTAGTTTATTCAAACTAATGTAATTTAACATTATTTAATCCAATTTAATCATACCAAATCAAATTGCAATTAACATGCCATAAAATCACATAAATTCTAATTAGCATAAAACACTAATCAATTTCAGATTCGGCCGCCGATAAGGCCTTCAATTTACAGTTCAAACTTAAAACATGAACAGATAAATCAATAACAGACAGATAGAAATGCATTTAACATAACACATTCATGCAATCAGTTTAGGATTTCATCCTAATCAGTTACTTATCATGTTCAGTCACAGTTTAGCAGTAATCAATGGTGAGGGTTGTCACAGTAGTTCACTTTATCTATACTTTCATCTTCTCATCTATTGAGTTACATATTTAATGACATAATGATTTTTCATAGAATATTCCTTTATTAATGCTAAAGCACTGCCTTTTATAAATACTTATAATATCATATTAACACTCAATTACATAGTTCCTATTATAACGCCAAATTCACCACTGGCACTGTGATCGTGCAACGCACGATCAGCCCCAAACTAGTTATTGGATAAATTACAGTCTTCTTCCATAAATTAAAACAAAAAAAAGGGCAAATTACTTTAAAGTCCTATCTAAAAGAGAAAAATAATTTTTTGAATACTCTCAAAAGTTTACAAGGTATTTTTTTTCTTCATCTTTTTTGTGCAGTTGATTTTCTTTGCCTCTTTCTCTTCTTGATTTCCAATTACCAATGACCATGCCTTACTTTTTTTTCTTTCCCTTTCTAATATATAATTACCGACGACCACCATTGATTGGGGTTTACCGATAACCATCGATCACCGATTCTTTACTTCATTCTCACCGACGACAAAAGAGACAAGTTTCTAGCCAAGAAAATGAGTAAATCTATTCAGGTACGATGTAGATCAGATCTACATCAGATTTGAATAGATCTACATGAAATCCGACTAGATCTAAACTAAAAATAGTTACCAGAGTACAATATTCTCTCTATATCTATTTCTCTCAATTTTTCTACATTTTCTCTACTACACACTTCTACTTTTCTATTTTAATAGAGAAAATTTTTAAATTCTGAATAAGTTTTTTTCGAGTTTTAGTTACAAGCAGTGAAACTGTAAACTTTTACAGTTTTAGTTTTTTTGGTGCTGAAATGAATCATACTTTAAAACTGTAAAATTTTACAATTTCATAACGTGTTTTTCAATTTGATTAATAAGGATAAATGCTTAATATAATCATACTTTGAAACTGTAACATTTTACAATCTGAAAGCTTGCTTTTTAATTTGATCAATATCGGAGATTATTTGCTTAAACTCTACAAAAATTGAAAAATAATATATATATTTTTCTCATTGTTGTCTGTTGTCATTATGTTTTTTTTTTTTTCCTTTTAGTTTATCAATATTTAACACATTTTGTTATTTTTTCCATTATAATTTCTTCATTTATTGTTTTTTTTTTCGGGGCAATATTCTAGACATTCCGGTGAGTCTCCAACGATATTCTTGACATCTAACAAACATTTTGGACATGCCGGTGGCTTCTAGTGAAGTTCAGAACACTTCGGCGAACTTCCGACGATACTCTGTCAAACTTCCGGTGATGTGGAACATTCCGACGAGTCTCCGTTGATCGTTTGATGGAACTCCAGCGGTGGTGAGATGTACCAGCGTTTTTAAATTTATAAAAAAAAAAAAAAAATTGGTAAAACATAAAAATATGTAGGACTAATTACTGCAAGTATTTTGTTTTTGAACTGGATGAGTTTTGAACTTTGTATATGGGACTTACTGGTAAGTGTCCTCAAAAAAAATACAATTCAATGTGTTTGGTTTCAATTTTCTGAAAATTAAGTTTTTTATTTTTCGTATTTTTTTGTTTTTAGTGAATATTTTTAAAATTTTAAGCAATTTTTTTACTTTTTTAGATACACCTTACTTAGATGTATCTAAAAAGTAAAATATCTGTAAAAAAATATTTTAAAAAATCAATAAATATACAAAAATACGAAAAATGTATTAAATTTTTGTATTTTTGGTATTTAATGAATTTTTTAAAAATATTTTTCACAAATATTATGCTTTTTAAGTGTATTTATATATCTAAAAATTTTTTTAAAAAATTGTTTAAAATATTAAAAAAATTCAGTAAATAAAAAACAAAAGTATGGAAAACAAAAAATTTCAATTTTCTAAATAGTGAATCCTGAGTTTGGAAATCAAACAAGCTGATTAGTTTTATATTTTTGACATAATTACACTAACCTCCTTCAAGATTTTAATTCACATAACACTTAATTCATTTTTCATCACTAATTCGTTAGTTGTATAAATAAAAAAATAATATTATTATATTTTTCCTAATAAGATGTATATTTATCTTTATTTATTTTAATATCTATCTACTGATATTAGTTCAAAATGTAAGGCTAATTATATTTTTTCAAAGTTTAAGGAATGTGAGTGTAATTTACCCTAAATTATTTTTCAAAATTTTTAAAGCTTAACATTCTCACATGATTAGTAATTTAAAGTATTTTAAGATAGTGATAAAAATTTTAGAACAAATGATTCTTACGCTTTATTTGGTTGAGAGATTTATAGAGGGATTTGAAAAGAAAAAAGAAAAATGTGTGTGAAATTAGATAAAATATAAGTATATTTTATTTACATTTCACCTATATTTTTTCTTTCTAAATCCTTACTCAAATCCCCCAACCAAATACAATATTAGTGTAACCCAAAATCCCAAACCCTACTCACCCTAATTCAACAATGAGAAAAAGAAAAAAAAAAGTATATTAAAATCACTAACCTTCTGTATTTTGTTAGAATAACATTTTGTTATAAATCAACAAAATCTTATATGTCAATAATTTTAAATAAATAATTTTTTAGCAGAACTGATTCAACACACACATTACCAAAGGGTTCAGACGAAACAAGGATAAGTGGGGCCATCTTTAACAGAAATCCTTACCAGCCTTACATTCCCACCCCCATACCATGCCAACGTAATCTCATACACCACCCCCAATCTCGTACACCACTCCCCAAAATGAATGAAAACAAACCGAGAAATAATATCAAAAAACTAGCAGAGAGATTGTGATTGACAAAAATAAATTTAAAGAAAAAAAAAATCCCAAGGCAAAGCCATGGTTGCAACTCCAGCAGCAACATCCCCAGCCTCTCAGCTCCTCTTTTCGACCTCTCACTCCACCTCTCGTCTCTCCCCTTTCCAAGCATGCGTCTTGGACGCCAAGACTCTCTTGTCGTGCCCCACGCGGCGCCAAGTGGTGGTGAGTGGTGGTGGAAGTGTGAGGTGCATGGCCGTGGGGACAGAATCGGAGACGGAGAAGAAGAAGAAGACTAGTAGTAGTAGTAAGTTTGAGATACAGACATTGACGGGTTGGCTGTTGAAGCAAGAACAGAAGGGGGTGATAGATGCTGAGCTCACGATAGTGATGTCGAGTATTTCAATGGCGTGTAAGCAGATTGCTTCGTTGGTTCAGAGAGCTAGCATTTCCAACCTTACTGGTGTTCAGGGTGCTGTTAATATCCAAGGCGAGGACCAGAAGAAGCTCGATGTTGTCTCCAACGAGGTTTTCTATCCATTCTTTCTTCATATTCTTTTGTGTTTGTGTTTGTGTTTGATGGTTGATTTTTGCCTATTTCGTTTTACTCCATAAATTTGATATCAGTCGTGACGTAATGATATTGGGAGTATTGTATAATATGTATCAGAAATTGAGTATAGCAGTCGTGAATTTTTTTAAATCATCGTCAACCACAAAGAAATAGTTTTACAGTAGCCAAATGGACTCTGAATTGGTTAGTAACTAATCTGTATTAGGAGCCAGTCAATGGACATTTGATTTTTAATCAAACTGGTATATTGAGATGTATCATTTTCCAAATGACAAAAATCCAATACACATCGGTCAATATAATATTTAAGAGTTTGATTTCTTTCAAGTTGTCATCTCAATTTCAGAGAACGCTTGGGCTTAGTAGGCCTATTTTGGAGCATTTGCGCTTAGAAAACCGATGTAAATATATAGGCCCATTTTAAAACCATAATTCTTGTAAATCTAGTTGGGAGCCTAATATTCCACCCATATTCATGCAAAATTTATATACAAAATTCGTCACCAAAATAATATGACAATATCATTTCTATAATTAAATGTTGTTCTTTGTTTTAAAATGACACAAGTGTCCTAATACAACCACATCATTTTCTATACAATTTATGTGTTTGAAACATCACTTGATAAATGTTTTAGCTTCATTAATTAACCTATAATCTAGATCTATCTATGAGATTTGTGTACAACTATGACTATGAGAATGACTAATGACAATGCAGGTGTTCTCAACTTGTTTGAGGTCAAGTGGGAGGACAGGGATAATAGCATCAGAGGAAGAGGATGTACCAGTGGCAGTTGAAGAGAGTTACTCTGGTAACTACATTGTTGTTTTTGACCCTCTTGATGGATCTTCCAACATTGATGCTGCTGTCTCCACTGGCTCTATCTTTGGAATCTACAGCCCCAATGATGAGTGTCTTGCTGATGTTGGTGATGATGATTCCACAGTAAATCCCCCCATCTCTTTCACTCAACTTTATTAATTTAATTTAAAAAAGGGGTGGAGGGTGTGCTTTGATGATCCTTATAAATTAACCAAACAACAATGCTACAATCACAGAAAACAATTTCACAGAAACATGCATAGAATGCAGAAGGTAGACATGCGCGGTGTTTTGTGTACTTTTCGGGAAAAAAAATTATGTGTCCCAATTTGTCCTGGTTGAGTTTGTTTCAAACCTCACCCCATCCACTGATATTTTGACATTTTCAATTTCTTTATATTTTTCTTTAATTTTCTCCCATTTCTATAAAAATAAAAATAAAAATTGTAATTTGCTTAGTATCCCAAGGAAACCCACTAGATGGTTAAAAAAAAGGAGCTTAGAGTGTCATGTTACTATTAATTAACTTAACTGGTGTTAGTCAAATTGTGCTTTTAACAAATTAGGCAAAGTATAAATTGTGTTGAATTGTGTTTTAAATGTTGAGTTTTGCATAATTGATCATTTTTATGTCAGAAAAATAAAATTATATATGGATATTAATGTAAAATTTTGCCCTACTTGATGGGAGATATTTCTGAGTACCTAGACTTACTGTTAATGAAACAGTCCAGAGTTCTAATTCAGTGTCAGCATAGTATATTCCCAAGAGTACTAACTGTTTGATAAAATGCCTCAATGCAGCTTGACAAAATAGAACAGAGGTGTATAGTAAATGTGTGCCAACCAGGAAGCAACCTTCTTGCTGCTGGCTACTGCATGTACTCAAGCTCCATCATCTTTGTCCTTTCCATTGGAAATGGAGTCTTTGCATTCACTTTGGACCCCATGTATGGTGAATTTGTGCTAACTCAAGAGAACATTCAGATACCGAAATCCGGGAAAATTTACTCATTCAATGAAGGAAACTACCAGTTATGGGATGACAAGCTCAAGAAGTACATTGATGACCTTAAGGACCCCGGTCCTAGTGGCAAGCCTTATTCTGCTAGGTACATTGGCAGCTTGGTTGGTGACTTTCACCGGACTATGTTGTATGGTGGCATTTACGGGTACCCTAGCGACAAAAAGAGCAAGAATGGGAAGCTGAGGTTGTTGTATGAGTGTGCACCGATGAGCTATTTGGCAGAGCAGGCGGGCGGCAAAGGGTCCGATGGCCATGTGAGGGTTCTTGATATCCAGCCAACTGAGGTGAGTATGATTCAATCATATAATTTGGCGGTAGGCTTGTCAATCGATCAGATTTTGCTCAAATTGATCTGAAAAATCCGAATTTTAAAGAGAGATATTTAATCCGATTATCCAAATTCATCTGATCCGCTCATTAAATTGATCGGATATGCAACTCCAATACTACTAGTTATTTTTACTAACTAAAGAGTACATAAAGTAATATTTATTTTAGCTATGTAGCTTATATTGGGAGAAAATATTGACTACAATGGTGTCACCATTCTATATGGTGTCATTGAGTAATAAAAAATAACAAATGAGATTAGGTATAAAGTCTTGTCTTCTACTAACTTAATAATGTTGTGGTCCCTATCATAAATTGAAATTGCTCATTAAATGTGATACCGTCACGTGATATCACTGTTATATTTTATATTTATTTCTATTTTAGTTGATTATTATTTTTTAATTAACACTTTCCAAGAAAAGAGAGCAAAGAAATAATTAATTTTTTTAACATGTTTAGCTAGTGATTGTTGATTAGCTAAATTTAACTAGCAAAAGTTAGGGAAAGTAAAATAGCCAGTCAAAATGTTAGCTTGTCAAAGATCCAAAAACATGTGAAAGACTATCTAATTATCGGATCAAATATTCATAATTATCGGACTTGGTTTGGGCCACTCATCTAACAAATATAATACATGCAGTTTCAAATCAAATTTAGATTATGTCTTAAACATATCAAATTCGCCAAATCTGATTCGTATATAGGCCTAATTGGAGATAATTCAGTTTCTCTTTCTATACAGGACAATCACAAACTTCTTGTGTTTTTTTTTTTTTTGACAGATTCATCAGCGCGTTCCACTTTACATTGGAAGCACAGAGGAAGTGGAAAAATTGGAGAAATATTTAGCCTAATTACAAATGTTATAGCAAAGAGAGTTTCAACTTTTTTTTTGAAGATGTTTGGCAACAGTTTCTCGTGAAATACAGTAAATTTAAATTAACAAGAATCTTGGAAAGTGTAGGTCATTTGTGTTCTTCACAAAGCCAAATTCTCTTTTTTGTATCAACATAGAAAAGACTCTGCAATGTTCTTCTTGTAATACTTGAAACAAACAAGTGGTTTGCATTCTGAGAGCAATTAGATAACACACTTGTATGTTGTGGTCATTCAAGTCCAACTGAGATTAGTTATTTCGCTGAAATTATGATAAATTATTTCATACCTGGCATGGTTAGGTGGTGCCTCAAGGAGATTGTGATGGGTAGAGATGGAGCCAAGACATTATATTGGGATTGGAAATGGTATAACATTTGGTGATTGATGTGTGTCATAGGCTATGCAGGGTGTTGGAAAAATGGTTTAAATTCTGTTGTTTCGGAAACTTTATGCTAATTATTATATAGGACCCACAAGTCATTTATTGAGGGTTCGAGTAGCAATGTATTCGTTCTATATAGTGGACAAGATTATATAATTAGTGAGTCAAAACCATTTATAAGTAAATGGTAAATTGACTTCTAAAGTGAGGTTTATGAACATTAGACATGTTGTGGAAATTCTCAAAATGGTGTTGCATAATTTTGTTCCACATTCTTGTTCTACACAGGAAAATTATGAACATTTTGGAGAAGATATATAAGGTCCTAGATAAGTTGGATTTGGGTCAAGCCCATTACTTATTTTGTTGGGCCCAAATTGTTTGAATTGTTATTAGTTTGTTTGCTTGGAAAGTTTGAATTTTATATTCAAATTTGCAACAGACATCAACGGACAAATTTCAAAGTGCACAGACGTGTCTTTCCGAAACAGGTTTTCATTGCCTTAATATAGGCAATCCTCCGTCCTTTTTATTTCCAAGAAAGAAAACATTTTTTCCAGATCTTCCTTTTCCTTCTTTATTCATCTTGCATATTCCATTTTTAGAGTTTAAGTTTGAGAGAGTATAAAGCACATATTCTGGTTCGCTATACACATAGAGTTAGTGCAAATTCTGTGTGTGGTGATTGTTGTATCTAGGAGACATGACGCCCATTGATCTCGTGCACCAGTGGAGAGGGCGTAATTCTGTCTTAAAGACACAGTGTCCATATACTGGCCTCAATCACATTTTCATACCATTGTTTAATCTGCTACAAAGTTGTAAGTTTTTTTTTTATTTGTTTTATTCATTCGCATGTAAATTCGCATGTAATTAATTTACCGAAATTATTCTCCAACAATTTTAAGACAGAATTAACTCACTTCTATTTACTGTTTCGGTTAAATTAATTTTATGATTTTATATAGTTTTGTGATCATACTGTTTAATATAGCAGATTCTGTTTCTATTATATATATATATATATATATATATTCTGGGTTTGTTCTGTTTAATGTAATGCTTTTCCATGCTGTTTAAAATAAAGTATCATTCTGTGTTTGCTGTTATATATATGTATACAGATTATTAAAGCGTGTTCTGGTATAATTCAGAATGTATTTATTTATTTATTTTTTTTTTCTATACAGAATTTTAATGTGCTGGTTCTAAACAGTGTAGTTTTTAAACTGTTTTTCTGTTCTGTTTTAATACAAAACTTCTCGCTATAAATTCTGTATGATCTGCGGTAATGCATCAGTTAAATATTCTGGGTTGAATTTTCTGTTAACGTTGAGGATTCTGTTATATATATATATATATATATATTTTTATGTTTGTTTGAATCTGCTTTCTTTTTCAAACGTTTAAAAAAAAAAAAAAACCTTTTGGTGGAACGTGGCAGTGGACCTTTTTTGTTTATTTGTTTGGGTTGGTGCACTTTGTTTATGGTTTGACCAATTCAAATACTTTTGTTTGTATTTAGAATTTTGGTCTATGGTGCTTCAGGTTCAAATACTTTTGTTTGTATTTAGAATTTTGGTCTATGGTGTTTCAGGTTAGTTATTAAGATTATATTTTATATTTTATATTTTATTACTTGGTCTGTTAAATTGGTTCTTTCAATCGAAAAAGAAAAAAAAAATTTGTTTGGTATACATCGTTGTGAACTGCACTGCACAGACTATTACAATTGTTTTTATTTTTTATTTTTTTAAAAAAAAAATGGTATATTGTGCTTCTGTTTGACTGTTGGGAAAAGAATACTAATAATAATAATTAGTGATATTTCTTTTAGTTTGTGTTGTGATTTGCAGTGCTACTTTTTGTTTGTTGCTTAATGGTTATCCTAAACTTAGTGATTTAAATTTTGTTATTGGGAAATTATATTTTATTTATTGTGGAAAGATTTGTTTTGTCATTTTATTTTGATCATAAAGTTTAAATGGCAACTGAGACTGTAAACAGTGCTGGGAATACAAACCCGACATCTGCATCTGTCATCATTCCTACTCCTATGGTTATTTCACTTCCCACCACTGTCCCGATTAACCACAATGAAAAGCCGGAAAAATTTAATGGGACAGAGTTTAAGAGATGGCAGCAAAAAATATTGTTTTATCTTACAACTCTGAATTTGGCAAGATTTGTCAAAGAGAATGCACCCGCCTTGAGCGAGGACAAAACTAATCGGCAAGCAATTGCTGCAGTTGAGGCGTGGAAACATTCTGATTTTTTGTGCCGAAACTATATTTTGAATGGATTGGACAACACATTATATAACGTGTATAGTCCATTACAAACAGCTAGAGAATTGTGGGAATCCTTGGACAAGAAGTACAAAACAGAAGATGCGGGAATCAAGAAATATGTAGTTGGCCGGTTTCTTGAATACATGATGGTGGACTCGAAGACCGTAATTAGTCAAGTCCAAGAGCTTCAACTGATTTTACATGAAATTCATGCAGAGGGTATGAGTTTGAGCGAATCTTTCCAAGTGGCAACAATCATTGAGAAACTACCACTGTCTTGGCAAGAGTTCAAGAATTATCTGAAGCACAAACACAAGGAAATGAAGTTAGAGGACTTGATTGTTCGGTTATGGATTGAGGAAGATAACCGCGAGGCAGAAAAGAAAAGAAATCCGGGATTTGTTTTCGAAGCCAAGGCTAACATATTGGAGCATAGACAAAAAGAGAAAAAGAGACCGCGTCCTAAGCAAAACTCTAAACAAACTGTTGGTCAAAGTTTTAAGATTGGATCAATAAAGTTCAAAGGAAAGTGCTTTGTGTGCAACAAGGTAGGACATCGGGCCAAAGACTGTCAGAATCGCAAAGATCAACAAGGTCATTCCAAAAAGACAAAGTATGAACAGGCACACATAACTGAATTGGAGACTTTGTCTGATGGAGTGACTGAGATGAACCTGGCAGTAGTTGTGTCTGAGGTAAATCTGATGGGGTCAAATTCCAAGGAATGGTGGGTAGACACCGGGGCAACACGACATGTGTGTGCAGATAAGAAAATGTTTACTACCTATCAACAAGTTAAAGATGAAGAGAAGCTTTTCATGGGAAACTCCTCTACTACAAAAGTTGAAGGACAAGGGAAGATTGTGCTCAAAATGACTTCGGGCAAGGAGTTGACGCTTTTGCATGTTCCAAAAATTCGAAAGAACTTGGTGTCTGGATTATTGTTAAGCAAAAATGGTTTTAAATTGGTTTTTGTTTCTGATAAGTTTGTTCTGTGTAAGGATGGTGTTTATGTAGGGAAGGGATACCTGTGTGATGGGTTATTCAAAATGAATGTACTGACTGTAATTCCTACTATTAATAAGAACTCCACATCTTCTGCTTATTTGTTTGAGTCTTCTCATGTTTGGCATGGTAGATTAGGACATGTTAACTATGATTCATTGCGTAGATTAGTTCACTTGGACTATCTACCTAATTTTTCTATTGACTCAAATCATAAATGTGAAGTATGTGTTGAGGCTAAATTTACTAAGACACCATTTAATTCAGTTGAAAGAAGTACTGAACCTCTGAATTTAATTCATAGTGATATTTGTGATTTGAAATTTGTTCAAACACGAGGAGGCAAGCAGTACTTCATCACTTTTATTGATGATAGTACCAAATATTGCTATGTATATTTATTACGAAGCAAGGATGAAGCCTTAGAAAAATTCATTGAATATAAAACTGAGGTTGAGAATTAACTTGGCAGGAAAATTAAGGCATTAAGAAGTGATCGAGGTGGTGAATATGATGCTCCTTTTGGAACGTTATGTTCACAACTTGGCATCATTCATCAAACTACTGCGCCTTATGCACCACAGCAAATTGGAGTTGCTGAGCGGAAAAATCGTACATTGAAAGAAATGATGAACGCCATGTTGATTAGCTCAGGTTAACCCCAGAACTTATGGGGGGAAGTGATTCTTTCCGCTAATTATATTTTGAATAAAATACCTCACAAGAAGATTCTTAAAACTCCATACGAATTATGGAAAGGTCGGAATCCTTCTTACAAGTATCTGAAAGTGTGGGGGTGTTTAGCTAAGGTGGCCATTCCTGATCCTAAAAAGGTCAAAATCGGACCTAAAATAGTTAATTGCATATTCATAGGATATGCACATAACAGTAGTGCTTATCGATTTTTAGTATACAAAAGTGACAATTCAAATGTGCATGTCAATACTATAATCGAGTCGAGAAATGCATCTTTTTTTGAACATATATTTCCATGTAAATCTATACAAGAATCAAGTTCTTCTAAACGTTCTTATGAAAATGCATTTGATAATAATCAAGGACATATTGAGGAAAATCAAGAAGGAACAAATGAGGCAGAACCTCGACGTAGTGAGCGAGCTAAGACTAGTAAATCCTTCGGTCCTGATTTCTTGACTTATCTACTGGAAAATGAGCCTCAAACATTTAAGGAAGCTATGTCTAGGCCTGAAGCTCCTTTATGGAAGGAAGCTATTAATAGTGAAATTGAGTCCATTTTACAGAATCATACCTGGGAATTGGTGGATCTTCCACCAGGATGTAAGCCTCTTGGATATAAATGGATATTCAAGAGAAAAATGAAGCCTGATGGATCAATTGAGAAACACAAGGCCAGACTTGTAGTGAAAGGTTATAGGCAAACTCAGGGAATAGATTACTTTGACACTTATTCGCCTGTAACAAGAATAACATCCATTAGAATGTTGATTGCTATAGTGGCTTTATACAATCTTGAATTACATCAAATGGATGTTAAGACTGCATTTTTAAATGGAGATCTTAATGAAGAAATCTACATGGAAC